CTCAGCGTTCGCTAAGTGACTGTCCCAGTCGTCTTGACGTGGACTGACGAAGCATCGCAGATACTCTTCGAGCGTTCGATTCATTCGCTCAGTTTGTCCGTCGCCTTGGGCCCGCTGTGCTACTGTCATGCTGAGTGACGTGACGATAGACTTGAAGACGTGTTGCCAAAACGCAGACACGAATTTTCTATCTCGGTCGAATACAATATTCGTCGGCATACCGTGAAGTTTCCAAATGTTGTCGATGAAGAGACGGGCAACGCCTTCGGCTGTTACCTTCTTCGTTGTCGGCACAAAGTGGCATCTCTTGGTCAGTCGGTCGACGACGACCCAAATTGAATCAACGTCACGCTTTGTTCTAGGCAAATCTGTTATGAAGTCCATGGAGATCGATCTCCAGCGCTCATCGGGAATACTCAATGGTTCGAGTAAACCAGGAGGCTTTGTCAGCCTTGGCTTGTTTCGTCGACATGGTTCGCAGTCAGCAATAAACGTTTGGATCGACTTGAGCATCTTGGACCAGTACCAGCGTCGTACTAACGTCAAGTACGTTCGCTCGGTACCAGGATGGCCACTGTAGTTGGTGTCATGACTCTCCTTGATTATCGATTGTCTCAACTTCACATCGTTGGGAACAGCGATTCGAGGATGGTCATCCACCGGAGACTGGTACCACAGCAAGCCGTTTGCCTCCGAATAGTACCGGTATAGCTTGTGGTGCTGGTGTTTTTCCTTCGACTTTGAGGTGCTTGTACGTCACTGGATTGCTGCCCGGATTGTCTGGACATCTCGATCTTTGACATAAGCACCATTGATCCTCTTCAGCAGCTCTGAATCTGTAGACACTTGACTAAGAGCAAGTCTGAAGGAAGTGTCGTTGAAGCTGGACACACGCAGGTCATGGAAATACTTCGTATCTGGCTGCAAGTCAGGTCTGCTACTCAATGCATCCGCGATACCGTTCTTCGCACCTGGAAGATACGAGGACGTGGGTTGGTACTCAGCTAGAATGTCGTACCACCTAGCCAATCGGCGGTTCGCCATCTTCTGTGTGAACAACCCTTCGAGACTTTTGTGGTCCGTCTCGACGATCGGTGGTTTACCCAAGCAGTAAATTCGAAAAGCTGCTAACGCGTGTACGATAGCAAGTAGCTCCTGCTGCTGTGTTGGATAGTTGAGCTCCGCGGATTTCATCTTTCGACTGGAATACGCAATGGGTCGCTCAACTCCGTCCACGACTTGGAATAATACTCCACCAACAGCGAATTTGCTCGCATCAGTGCGCAGATGCATGGGCTGGCTGATGTTAGGGACGTGCAACACTGGAGGATTACACAGTCGCCTCTTCAGCTCCTTGAAATTCTTCAACTGCTCATCATTGAATTGGATCTTCGCGTTCCTCTTGTTCTTCTTCTTCAAGAGAGTGAACATTGTTGCAGTAAATGCTGCGTAGGCTGGACAAAATCGTTGAACGTAACCAGTCAACCCAAGGAAGCTGTGAAGTTCCTCTTGTGTTCGTGGTACTGGCCAGTCCTTGATGGTTTGTACCTTGTCCGGATCCATCCGTACACCGTTGCGTCCTACGAAGTCCCCGAGACACGGAATCTCGTCGGCACAGAAGACACACTTGGCAAGCTTGACGTACAGCTTGTTGTCACGCAGGATATTTAATGTCTTGCGCAACGCCTTCAAGTGGTCGTCGATGCTCTGAGACTTCGTGAAAACGTAGATGTCATCATAAAACGATTTGGTGTTTTCCAAACCTCGGAACAGCTTTGACGTTAAACGATGCATCGTCGCTGGCGCATTACAGACTCCCATGGGCAGAACAAGATACTCCCAGAGTCCATTTGGCGCTTGAAATGCTGTGAACTTGATATCCTCTTCACGCATACGTACTTGATAGTACGCGGACATCAAATCCATAGTGGAAAACCAGTACGCTCCGGACATCGCGTCAAGAATGTCCTCCTTCCTCGTCATTGGGATACTTTCACGTACAGTGTTGGAGTTCAAGTACCGGTAGTCGTGTACAATCCTCCAGCCAGCTAGTTTTCGTACACAGAAGGTTGGAGCAGCATGTGGACTGATGCTTGGACGGATGAGCTTCTTCTTCACCATGTCTACCAATCTCGCGTTGCTGCTCTGGCGATTGACGCCATTGTTGCCGATACATTGCAAGATTCGGATCCTCCACGTCAATCCTATGCTCAATCTCGCGTTTCTCGGGTAAACCTTCTGGGAGCTCAGGACGGAACACATTGTCCATGTACTCCATGAGTAACTGGTACGCGGGATTCCCCTTGAAGCTATCCCAGTCCGTATCCAGATACCGTTGTGCTTTCGCACTTCCGACGTTGTCGGGTTGATCTTGCCGTTGCAGTGAGCGAGCAACTTGCTTGATCGTCACGTTCGTCAGAACCAACATAAAGTCAGGTTCATCGATCGACTTGGTCTTGATTCTCAGGAGCTTTCGTAGTTTCTTGCGAGTGATGAACTTCGTTTGGACACCAGCCTCGTCAACGACACCCATCGTGAACATATTTTCCACGATAGTGCCTCTGCCCCCAGTACTGCTGCTATCCCCAGCCTCTCGTACAGTACCGCCGCGTTTCGACAATTCCAAGTTGTCCTTCACCGCCGAACCCTTGCCGGCTGACGCGTCTCCTGGTTGTTCGCAAACAACTCTTGGGCTCTCTTTCTGCGTTGCGTCGCAAACAGTTTCAGCCGCGGACTTCACATCCGTTTCCAGCGCGGCACCTCGACAGGAATCGGGTTTTTTCGCCGATAGGCCTTTCGCCTCGACAGATCTCCGAAGCCCGGAGGCAATCACCGGTCCGCCTTCCTCGATCGGTCCACTGGTTTCCCCTGTTCGCTTCCAATGCAGAGTCTTCACTTGCGTTCCTTCGATACATCGACCTCGTCAGTCGATCTGCGGCTGCATATCCTCGAAGATTGGGATTCCAAGGATGCAGTCGAATTCGTCGGGTATGGCGTAGACGACAGCGATACACTTGTATGCCTCGCCCAACCCAGACACCAGGATTTCGAGGGGAAGTACCTCCAGTTCCGTCTCGACAATCTGGTTGTCTCCAAGTTTCACACGAATGTTCTTACCAATGAACTTCGTGGCCTTGAGTCGATGTTTCTCGACCCACTGTCTGGACACGTAGATTGTGGTTGCTCCACAGTCCAACAGCATCCTTTGGGTCGAAATGGTCGCGCCACTAACGATGATTTCCCCCTTTACGGAGAGCAGTGGACGCGACTTGTAGACGAGAGGGTTTTCGCTCAGAACGTTAAGGCTGACATTCTCGAACTTGACTGATCCGACGTTCTCCTCCACGACAGGACCCTCATTCACTGACGTGGCTGCCCGTTTCCCTGCTTCTCTTGCTCCTTCTTCCAAAGGAAGCAGTTAGTCTTGATGTGGCCAGGTTTCTTGCAGTGGAAACAGGTACGACCTTCGGCTCGTTTCGAGCTAGTCTTCGCCTTGAAACGCCCTTTTCCACGGTATGTTTCCCTTGAACGACTTGTCGTGACTCGGCGCGTGATCAGTGGACGGATTCCGCTTGTCTTGGCTAGTGTGACGTTCGCGCGACTCGTCGACGAAGTGTGTCACCTCATACTTGACAGCAAGATCCATTGCGTCGCGCAGGGTCTCTGGGTTCTCGAGCTTGACATAGCTACGCGTGCGCGGCTTGAGACCGCTCGCGTAGTATAGTACTTGGTCAAGCACGCTCATTCCTTCAAGTCTGAAGATCAAGGCTGAATACTCGCCGCTGTAGGTCTCGATGTCCGCTGTCTGTTTAAAGCGTTGAAGCTTCTCGCGCAGGACAGACTGGGTAATTCGACGCTTCGAAGTGTTGGAGCACATGCTCACGGAAAATTTCCCACGTGTGCTCCGCCGCTCGAGTTGTCGACGACCAGTGCAGGAACCATCCGGATGCCCGCTTTTCCATTGCCGATCCGGCGATTCCAGGAAGACGCGCGCTCGTGTCTTCGATTGGAATGTTGTTGATGCGGCTGGCGTTCTCGATCAAGAACAGCCATTCGCGGACGTCTTCCCCCCTCTTGCCCGTGAACTTGGGCAGATGGCTCGGCACTTTCGTGCGATCGGCCATCGCTTGGTTCAGCCGATCGATCTCGGCGCGTAGCTGGGCGATTGTTGGCAAGGGCTCCTCCTGGTCAGGTTGCTGGGACCAACAAGTGCTACCAGTATTTCGGGAAATGCTAGCTTGGGGGAGGGCGCGCGAAACGAGAAGTGCCGCCCCCGCAGTTCAGGCGGATGGAACCTTCTAGAACCTTCTAGAAGGTTCCACGGCCGCCCTACATCTGTCTTTTTGTATTGCATACTGAATCTATGTTAAACTGAGCCTGTCTCTGATTGGCTGAAGCTCTACACCTATCATATCTGATACAGTTGCAATACCAAAACGTCGCTTAGGACAGGGGCGATGCGGTACACAGTACCGGTGGAGGTGCTCTTATGTTTGCGCTACGAAATGCAGTCAGAATTTGAGGACATCGGACGATTGCCAAATGACTTGAGAATTGTATTGGATGTGGTCAGCCCATGGCAATACCGGTACGGTATTTTTCACCAATGAGAGTGTAAAAACAGTGCCCCGTCTATTGATAACCCTCGTCTGTAAAATATCATGTGGCGCACATATCTAATGTGATCGAAGATACGTGTCAATGTCGAGGAGCTCCAAAGCTCAAGTCCCTCTCCGAGGCTCAAGTCTTCTCTGTATCTCTCTGTTCACACACCATGGCATCGGGCCACGCCACCGTCAAGGCCGTTCTGTCGGGCGACACATTGGTGCTCATGGGCGCAGCCACCAACGGGCCTCCCCCTGAGCTCATGCTGACCCTGTCATCACTCCAAGCTCCACGTCTTGCGCGCTCTCCTGAGCAGAGCAACGAGCCGTACGCATGGGCGAGTCGCGAGCACCTTCGTAAGCTGTGCATCGGCAAGCAGGTTCGCTTCAAAGTGGAGTACCGGGTCCCTGCCATCAACCGCGACTTCGGCTCCGTGTGGCTTCCTGCCAATTCGCGCGGCGTGGAGGAAAACTTGTGCGTCGTCCAGGCGCGTACGGGCTACGCGCGCGTCAAGACGCTAGAGCAGTCGCGTGACGGTGTGTGTGTGGACCACGAGAAGATGCTGCAGCAGGAGCAGGTGGCTATCAACGAGAAGAAGGGAATGTACGCCGACGCAGACGTCGAGTCCAATGCCACAGTTCAGTGGCACGGTGCCGACTCTGCGGCGCTGCTGCAGGAGCACAAGGGCAAGCTTGTTCCTGCTGTGGTGGAGGCTGTACGGGACGGAGCCTCCCTGCGTGTGATCCTCAAGCCTTCGTTGCAATTGGTCAACTTTGGGCTGTCCGGAGTTCAATGTCCCCGACTCAACCCGCCCGTGAACGCTGCGGAGTCCGAGGAGCCTGTTCCGACTGGACCGGCGCCTCATGCACGTGAAGCCAAACACTTTTCAGAGGTGCGACTGCTGCATCGTGACGTGGAGCTGAAGCTCGAGGGTGTCGACAAGTACGGCAACTTGTTCGGCAGTGTGGTGCACCCCTCTGGTCGTAATATCAGTGTAGAGATCCTCAAGATTGGTCTGGGACGGATGGCCGACTGGAGCTCAGCGTTCACCAGCGCGTCAGCTCGCGCGACGATGCGCAACGCTGAGAAGGAGGCGAAGCAGCAGAAGCTACGAGTGTGGAAGGAGTACGAGGCTCCTGTACTGCAGTCGGACAAGCGCATGACGGGAACGGTAGTGGAAGTTATCAGTGGCGACTGTCTAGTCGTGTACGTCCCCGATGCTGCGACGCCAGCAGAGCAGGAGAAGCGCATCTACCTGAGTTCGTTGCGTGCTCCTCGTCTGGGCAATGCGCGTCGTGGCGAGCCCAACGCTCCGTACGCTGCGGAAGCCAAAGAGTTCGTGCGTCACCGTGCCATCTCCAAGACTGTGCACATTGAAGTGGAGTACGAGAAGCCCAGTCCTTCCGGACAGGGGGACGTCATGACGTTCGCCTCGGTGTTCCTGGAGCCTTCAGCTAACGCTCTGAAGAAGAACCCGCAAGCCAAGGGCGCCAACTTGGCTATCGACGTCGTGGCGGCTGGTCTGGCTGAGGTGGTGCGTCATCGTCCGGATGAAGAGAAGAGCGAGTACTACGACGACCTTGTGACGGCGGAGACGAAGGCGCAGACACAGAAGAAGAACTTGCACTCGTCCAAGGAGCCTCCTGCCACTGAACGTCGCGTGACGGATCTGTGCTTCGACGCGACCAAGGCGAAGCAGTTTCTGCCTTTCTTGACTCGAGAACGTTCGACTCGTGCTGTCGTGGAGCACGTGTACTCGGCTACACGTGTGAAGCTGTTTGTGCCCAAGGAGAATTGTCTAATCAACTTTGTGGTGGCTGGGATCAAGTGTCCTCAGCCTGCTCGTCACGGCGCTCAAGGTGTTATCGTGCAGCCAGCTGAACCTCTCGGAGAAGAGGCCAAGTTGTTTACTAAACGCAGTGTGATGCAGCGTGAAGTGATGGTCGAGATCGAGGACATGGATCGTGGTGGAAACGCCTTCGGTCCTCTGTTTGTGGTGCCCAACGGCGGCGGTAAACCTCTGCGTGATGACCAGCACAACTTCGGTGTCCGTCTACTAGAAGAGGGTCTTGCTTGGGTGGATTCGTTCAGTGTGGAGCGTACAGCTCTTGGTAACGTGCTTCAACGAGCCGAAGAGCGTGCCAAGGCGCAGAAGAAAAAGTACTGGGCTACTCACGATGCTCAGGCTGCAGCCAAGGCAGCTCAGACGAAGCAGGCCAAGACGAAGGACGATGCCTTCCCGCGTGTCAAGCTGTCGGAGATCGTGGATGGCACGCATTTCTACTTCCAGAACGTGGGCGACCGTAACTGTGCTGCGGTGGAGGAGATGATGAAGGCCTTTACACGTACTCACGGTCTAGCTGGTAAGACGTTCGAGGTGCGTCGTAACGCTGTGTGTGCTGCTCTGTTCGACGACGGCAACGGGCCTGCCTGGAACCGTGTCAAGGTTGAGTATGTGCATCCGGACGGCTCTGCGCGTGTGCGCTTCCTGGACTACGGTAACGAGACCACCGTGACAGCCAATCGTCTGCGTCCGCTGGATGCCGACGTGCTTCAGTTCCCCCCTCAGGCCAAGGAGGCTGTGTTCGCGTGGATCAAGCCACTTGCTGCTACGGAGGAGTTCGGATCCGACGCTGCCTTGCGTCTCGGTGAAGTCGCGTGGGGCAAGACTCTGTCGTGTCGTGTCCACAGCACTGACGACCGTGGCCGCATGCAGGTCTCGCTCTATCTGCCTGATGGCAAGAGTGTCGCCGAGAACTTGGTGGAGGCTGGACTGCTGCGTACCGACCGCAAGGCGCTTCGCTCGTTCCTGCCCTTCCAGAAGCCAGTTGTCGACGGACTTCTCAACGCTCAGGAGACTGCCAAGACGCAACGCCGTTGTCTGTGGCAGTACGGTGACATTGAATCGGACGACGAGCACGGTCTGTAAATACCGTACGTCTACTCTTGTTGGCAGACAGAAAAGAATCATAGGAGCTCGTAACTCTTTCAGACCCAACTAAAATGTAAAAAAAAACTAAGAAAGTGACAACATTCTCGACCGCAACTTAGCCTCTTTTTTTACTCGAGTGCAGGCATATCGTCGAACTCCTCGGCCTCGGCTTTGAGTTTCTCCTGCTTCTCGAGCTCCTTGTTCTTCGCTTGCAGACGGTCGAAGATCTTCTCCTTGTACAGTTTCTTCTCGTCCTCTTTGTACTTGATCGCGTACTTGTTCAGCAGCGCCTTCACAGCCACGAGTCAGATAAAGCACAACAGGGTCAGGATACCCATGCGAGACACGTACATGGCTCCGCTTGAGGTCAGCCAGCGCGTGGTGCATCTTGCTGTCGTTGGACTCGCCAAGAAGCTCTTTGGCTTTGTCCAGACTCTTTTCAGCGTCGTTTGCGTACTCGAAACCTTTGTCGACGATCCAGAACTCGCCCTTCTTTTCCTTCTCCAGCTCGGCCTTGAGCTTCTCAGTGAAAACGAGACCTCGACGGAAATGACCCTTACTGTTCTTCGGGTCGAGGAGAATAGCCTGCACCAGCACACACGTCGTTAGCAGTTGATAAGGCTACGAGCAAGAAAGGGAGCCGGTATGGTGGCTACCCTACCTGGTCGCAGTCCCAGAGCGCATCTTCGATCTTCATGAGTTTGATCTTGCACAGCGCTCGGTTGAGGTACAGCACCAGCTTCACCTTGTTGACCTTGTCCTTGTCTTCCTGCGACACAAAGTTCTCCCACTCCTCCTTGGCGTAGAAAATGTGTACGAATCCCTATGACACGCAGCTAATTGTTAGCACGAGTAGCCACGACAAGGCAGAGCTCGAACGCACTGAGTCGTAGCACTTTTGCGCTTGTTCGTAGTCCTTTTTAGCGATCAACGCATTTCCCTTCTCCTTCTGCTCCAAAGCACTCTCAATACGCTCATCTAATGGATAAAAAGAAGAAAAAGTGTTAACAACACGCAAATCATTACATCACGTGCTTTAAGAGCAGACATTAGATCGTACGCACCAACTGTAGGCGGTGGGTTCTCGTCCATCATTTTCTTGTCTTCCTCTTGCTGCTTCTTGCGAGATTCTGCGAGCTCGGCTTGCGTCGGGAAACGAGGCAGCGGATCCTGTTTACCAAGCACGACACAGATGAGTATTATAGAAGTGATAGGACAACGCGCAAACAAAGCACGCACTTTGAAGCTTAGTAGCTCAATCTCAAAGTCCAGTGTCTCGTCCGGCTCCACTTTGGGTGCGAAGCCTTCATGGCCGTAGCCGTACTCTGGAGCAATAATGAACCGTGCAACCTCGCCCTCATTCATCGTCGCTACGCCAATATCCCAGCCCTTGATCACCTTTTCTGTAAAGGATACAAAACAAGTCACCACTCGCTGTCGCTCTATTACAACGCCACTTTCTGCCCACCTCGACCCAACTGGAACTCGAACGGGTCATCTGTGCCGCCCACGTGCTTCCCGTCAATTTTATCACGACTGTAATAGAAAAATATTAGCATCTTTCTCTTCAAAATAATACAAACGTAGCCATCTTACGTCGTGTCGAAGATGGATCCGTCCATGAGCCTTCCCACATAATGCACGAAGGTCGGACATCCCTCTTCCAGCTTTAGTTTGCCACTCAGCTCCCCCTCCTTAATGATCTATAATAAGGGACAAACAATGATGAGCACTTCTAATTTAGAATATTGTAAGAGGAATGGTATCATGTAGCCAGCCACCTTCTTGAGTACGCCGCCGTCAGCATTGGGTGAGATGTCCACGAAACCTTCGTCCCTGCAGAACTTGTTGGCGTCCGGGTCGAAGAAGGCCTTGGTCACACGTGCGCAGTGGGTACAGAGCTTCTGCGGGTTGGCGACTAGCCCTACGCCACGGCCACCGCACTCAACACAGCGTGGGATGTCGGCAGCGCTCACACTCGAGCGGTGTGGCTGCTCTTCCGGTTCCGAATCGGACGACATGTTGGAATTTGTAGCCATAACCTCGTTTTCTATTCTGATCAAAACTAAAACACCTGCCAAACGTGGTTTACAGATCTAAATCTGGTTTCTTGGGGCGATTCGGTTAATTTTAAAAAGGGTTAATTTTGATAATTAACCTAAAGATAATTTGGGCAAAGCCTGAGAAAAAAAAGTGGTACATGTATTCCCAGCGTAAGTCGCTAGTTTGGCATTACATGTATAATCACGACAGCAGTAATCTCGCTGCTGAATCTTTGGCCCGAACACCGAACTTGTTGTTCCTAATGTATCGCCACTGGAAGCTCGGCGAAATACAAACCTTGTCAAATACTTGAGATACGTTCTCCAAGCTTCCTAGCAGCCGCAGCATTGGCGTTAGCATGTCGCTTTGCGCCATCACGCTGACCACGCGTTTCGTTACAGCATTCCACTTGAAACATGTCGAACCGCGCATTGTTATCCGCTGGCCTCGGAGTTTGCTCGCCAAGGTATCTTCGTTCTTGGAGTTGAGGAGGTGTGGAAACACATTAGCTAGTGTTCGCTGAGTGATCGTCACGCTTGTTATTGTGGTCACAATCATTGAGTTTCCAGCACTCTTGCTCAGGTGTTCAAGTTCCACTTCCACGTCGTCAAACCAATTTATAAAACACCAGCCCCGCACTACGGCTTTAAAACCACATTCGGTGTTGTACACGACGTCCGGTGCCATAGCATCTCGCATAGCGTCGAAAAGATCGCTGGGCTGGAAACCCAAGCGAACCAATCGAAAATAACGAACTGCTAGCTCCCAGACGTTGTTCGCTGCAGGAACGGATCCAGGTACGACCAGACGCTGCTTCGCAAGTGTCTTAATTTTGTGTTGTAGTTCTCGGATGTCTTTGTCGAGGCTGGCCGTCAAGTGTTTTTGCTTCATTCTGTACCGTTGCTGTACTTCTCGACGTCGCTCGCGCTGAACACGCTCGCTAAGCTCCAGCAATTCTGCAATCGCTTTGTACTTGTCATCTTGAGAGGCGGTTTTCAGGTGCTTGAAGCTGGTAGCTCTTGTGGATTCACTACTTCTTCGTGACGTTGATCAGTGAGCTTTTACCACGCGATGCTGGAGTACGTGCTGGTTTTTCAGAAAAAGCGCCGTTGTCCTCCCAGCGGCAAGACAGATTGCCTCCTACCTGCTCGGATCTCGTAATTTGGTGAGCTGAAGTGCCGAAGTGAAGTCTGTTTGCTCTCCTGACACATATAACCGCGCCAGTAACTACATCGTCTCTCAGCTGGTGGCTGTTGGGTGGGTGAAGAGTGCTGAGGTGCATTGCTGCAAATACTCTTGCTCTTGATAGTGCGAGATGGTAAGTGCTTGTTGGGAATGACTGAGCTGCATTCCCTCGGCCGTAGGTACAGTAGGTCGCTACTTACCATCTACTTGGCCTGATTTGCAGCGATTACAGGACACTGTGACTAAACATAACTTCGTCTGGGAGATCACGTGTAGTAATAATCATGTGTGAAGAATGACTTGACTGTAGTTTATAGCCTGGGCTCGAAAAAAAAATGATTTCAGAAAGAATTAATCTACTAGATCGTCTGTAAAGAGCTGGCTAAAGTGTGCTAATGCGATTATGAGACTCCCACAATCTGATTGGCTCTTCTATCTACTACTTTCAGTTTTTGAAGTACTTAGAAAATATCTTGTATTGTGCCTTTCCAAAGTTTTGGTCAATCTAACCTTTAAAGGCTGGTCCTAAGGTAGGGTGAAATGTGGGATTTGAGGAGTTGAATTGCTAAGCCAGGCCACTAAATAAAATGATATTTGACCAATAACACTGTTTGATTTTGCCGACTATGATCCAATAATACTTGATTGTGGAGGTCCGCTCTAAAGGGTAACTTTTAAGAAATTAAGGGCTGAATGGCCAGTGTTTACCGGTTACGTAAGGTATTTACAACAGATTGATTTTAAATCAAATATGGGCTACTCATCAGACATACGCTGGCGAGGCATTGTCTTGCAGTATGTCTACAATATTGAGATCAGCGTATTTGCTGGTGTATTGGGCGTCTCGGCCAGAAGCCTTCGGAGATGGTACCATCTTTTCAAGACAACAGGAAATGTCGACGACACCCCTAAGAATGATCGGTCATCTAAATGGCCGATTGAGGTGCAACAATTTGTTCGCGAGTATGTAAAGCAATACACCCCTGCTTCTACTTCCAAGAGCTGCGTGAGGTATAAAAGAGAAGTTTTCAACCCAATATTGCTGTTCCGATTCGACAATTTGTCGTGCTTTACGGTTCGATTTGGGGTTAGCGCGAAAAGTGCTGACTAAAAGAGCCTGTGAAAGTATCCCAAAAGTGCGCCAAGAGTATGTGAACAGACGTTTGCTTTTCTACAGCCGGCCAGATCAAATCGTGTTAGTCGATGAAACTTCAAAGGATGGAAGGTAATGTACAATATCAATTTTGTGACTGCTACATCTTACCTTGTTAATTTGTTGTATGGCATTGCTATGGTTTAGGTCCTCCCTGAGAGAGCACGCGTAATCCGCGCGCGGAGACCCAGCGATTGTGTCCACTCCATTTTCCCGCGATAAGCGAATCTCAGTCCTTGCTGCGTTCGACGTTGAAGGATTTTTTGCGTGGGGTACAATCGAGGATACTTTCACCCGGCAGACGTTCCACGAGACTTTCAAGTTGGAAATTATACCATTCCTCAATCCGTGGCCTTTACCAAGATCAATTGTCATTTAGGACAGCGCCAAAATTCACATGTACGAAGAATTTCAAGAACTTATTTGTGGTGTAGCGGGATCAGCAAAATCTGCGAGATTGCTGGATCCAACTTACCAACTGCGCCCAGACACCGACTAACGGAAGGGGTCCCCCGATGATCCGTGTTCTGCTGAACTTTCCTCACCTTGTGTACCCGTCGGTAGGGCGGGATCTTGCTCTCTCGGTAACTTCCGAAGAGTTCAAGTGGTGAAGCTTGCGTGTCTTGGCGAGACGTGGGGATGAAGTGGAGCAGCAGTGGAAAATCTTCACTCTGCGTCCGTGGATAGTTCCGAATCCTAAGCGAATATTCGAGCTTATGGATCCGGGGCCTAGATCGTGGATCTGGCCGTAGGGTTGCCTTGCGGGTGTGCTCCCTTGCCTTTGCGTTTTTCTTTGCGTTGTACTTGCCGCCTCCTGTGACGGGATCTTGAGAGTTGAGAGCCTCTAGGGTATAACCGACCATGTAGTAAATTCGGTTAGCCTGTCGGATCTGCACAAGTAAAGGAAATGCTCACTAGGTTGTAGGATCTGGCCAATGTATTATCCAGTTATCACTATTAACACTAGATTCGCAATTCCCAACCTTTCCCGAGCTCGTACGGCCAATGTAGCTCCGGTTCTTGAGGGCAGGAAGGCACTTGCGTGTTACTGTGCAAATTGGGGTCTGTATTGATACTTTTGCCTATACCTGCCTGGATTTCTACCTTCTATGTCTTTCACTTGCTAAATCCCTTACCAGGCTCGGCTGCATGTCCCTTTTTTCCTTGACCCATCATCCCAGCTGTATTATCTTCAGATCCACCGGATCCATGGCGTAATCATTATGGTCACCCTATTATGGGTACACTCATCCGGATCCAGGTCGCTTGGATCCACTACACTGTAAGTGCGCACTCGTTGTGGATCTGAGCTCTCCAATCATCCAACATCATCTCGCAACCGTCCGTGATCTCCATTGTCCCACGAAAGTTCGAAATCCACCACATCCATCATCCCTGTACCCTGGATCCGGGCCCCTCCATGCGGGATCCTCCCTCCTTGGATCCGAATTCGGAAGTATGGGATCCGGGACATCTCGCGGTGGATCCTGACTTCTTATTAGCCGTGGCTACCAGATCCACCTTCGGAGGGTACCTACCATCATTCGTTCGTAGGATCCACACTCGATCCACCCTTATATAGTATATCCCATATCCATCTAAGTGAATCCAGGTAAGGGTGGATCCGAGATAAGTCTTGGTGGATCTTGCCTTCTCGTACCTTGCTCATACCAGATCCATCGTCATTTCACACGGGGTGCTGCTCGTCATGGCTAATCCGCCACAGGCAACTTGCACCCGTGCCAGGCAACCCAAATCCTCTCTAATCACTTGAAATTGTCACTGATTCGGGATAGTGACCCCGCGTCAGGCCCACTCTCTTATTGTTGAGAAAGCACTTCACCACATATTTACGGTACTGGTGCACTGCTATTTTTTTCTGCCGCCGTATTCACCTGACTTGAATCCTATAGAAGCCGGATTTTCTCTTCTAAAACAATGAATCCAACGCCACGCTAATATGGCGTTCCGTATAAATCCTCTTGCGGTCCTCAATGTCGCGCTGTACGTTTGCACTAGACACTTTGAGGAAGTTGGGCAAGATTTGTACGGCCACTGTGGGTACGATGGGAGCAAACTCAGTATAAAAATCAGTGAGTTTTAATATAATTCATGTATTCGTACTGAAAACATCGTACTCTACCTCTACTACGCTCTTTAGAGTTGATCGTTAAGGTGATCGAAATCATCCATGTCTTCTGCAGGAGCGGGAGTCTCAAAATCAACCGGGTCACGGAACGGAGGACGAAGGCTGTAGGCCGGTAAGCCGAGAATTTCCTGGAGATCCCCAACATGAACCTGCACTTGGATCACTGCACCTTGAATTTTGATCCTGAGCATTCTGAAATTTATTTCAGCGGTTGCTTAAGTTGTATCTTGATTCGTTTCCAATTCCTGCGAAAGCTGATCAGTGTTCCGAAGTTGTCGAAATGTTGTGTTATCAGGAGCTTGTAGTGGAGCGTCAGCTGGAAGTCGAGCTTGTATTGTTGCCATGAACAGCTGTGAGGCTGGCCCACTCGAAATATTGCGCTCAGCTAGCATAGCTGCTACACGGGGAACTTGCTCTTGGATTCGATTCTCGTTGCTCTACGAATAGTGATGGCTCTTGGTTCTGGTGCTCTTGGAACATAAACAAAAATC